AGGATCCTGGGCCTCAACCGGACGCTGCCCTCGGCCAGCAGGAGGTCGGAGTTCACCCAAGGTAACATCCCGTGCGGGCGGGCTCTCCGGCTCTCCTTCCCTCTCTTTCTATAGGCTTTTCTTGGCCTGGCTCGGACGCGGAGCCTGCGGGGCGAGGGTGGGCCTCCTTTCCAGTCGCCAGGACGGCCAGTGGCAGTTGTGCGTGGTGAGAGGCGGGGCGGAGGCCAGGACCTTCCCCGACAGCTAGGCCTGTCATTCTAGGTGGCCCTGCGGGTAGAAGAAACTCTGAAAGTTTCCAAAAGAAAGAAGTGAATTCTCTTTCTTCAGCAGGCGGAACCTTTAAAGGGCCCAGAGCCAGAGCAAGTGAGATCCAGCCCCTGGTTGCTCTTCCCCTTGGGCAGGTTAAGGTGATGGCAGTGAGGAGGTAACTGCTGCTGTGCTCGGTGCTGGTGGGCCGGGCCTGGCCCCGTGAGTTCTTCAAGCTTCACGACGTGGTTCACGGGCCTGCTGTCCAGGATTCTGTGTTCTTGGGAGACAAATGTCAAGGGAACTCGGCCTGTAGCCAGCGGCTGTGGTCATGCCCTGCACACAGAGGATATTCAGTCAATATCCACGGCACATCAGCCAGTGGCTCTTGTTTGAGTACAGAATGATTCCAGAAGTTGCCACTGGAGATACAGTGGCCCGAGGGGCTAAACAGGACCTCACAGAGCTTGGCAGCTCCAAAGATACTTCTTGTGATTGTGAAATCCTCCCTGGGCCTAGGAAATCTAGCATTTCAGTGAGGCTCTCAGGAGGACGGGAATGGAATGGATTAATCCTCGTGGGAGTAAGTGAGAATTGAGCCAGTCTCCCATTGGCTCCGGGTTTATAATTTAGTTCTAGAGTGGATCGTCTTTGGCGCCAGTGATGTGCTTACTGGTTCATGGCTAAGTGCTCCAGATTCACAGTGCATTTTGAAGTTTGTACTCTCCCAGGATTACAGCAGTGCCAATTAGATGAAACATTTAGTGAGAGAGAAAGCTAAATCTTATTAGGCTTACTGTTTACCAGGCATGGACTCCTTACACGTCTTAGGACCAGGCCACGGAGGCAGGTACTGCTGTTATTCCCAGTTTAAAGACTGAGACTTACTCAGGCAAAGCAACTGGCTTCGATCCCCACGCCAATTGTGTGGCTCAGGAGGGTTTTGAAGGTAGGTCCAGCAAACTTCCCAGCATAACTTCGTAACCTTGGACTTGAGTGAAAATGTCTGTCGCTCATCCTGTAGGTTACAGCTCACAGTAGTCAAAGAGCAGCCTGGGGGGCACTGGGGTGAGAGGAATGCATGGAGACTATCCTGGGAAAGCGGGCTACAGGAGTCCCTTTGTTATCCTCTTTGGCCGTTCATGCTCATGCCTAAAGGCCGCAGAGAAGAGGTGAACCCTTGGACCTATCTGAGGGGGCGGGAGGGCACTCCGCGTGTCCTTTGAGCTTCCTTAGGGTGCTCTTAAGAGGAAGCTGGGTGAATTCCTTAGGGTGCCTGAGCTCTTGCCGGGGTCTCCCTGGATTTGAACCCTAAGTTTCCTTAGCAGTGGAATGACATTAACAACAGGTCATTGTAATTTGTACAAGGGAAACACGTGATTCTGGGCAGGAAGTAAACCTTTAGTACGTCTTGGCTACTCCCATCACACATGAAGTGCCAAGTTTACATTGTTGGTTGCAAACCCTTCAAGCCTGAAAGATCATTTCTGCAAGTGACCAGCCTGTAACTGAAACCCGTGTATCCCGATTGCTTCATTAAGCTTCTTATCACCAGGATTCTTCTGAGATATATTTCTGTCTGTGCTCCGGGTTTTCGGTACCTTTGAGAATAATGATTCAATTCGAAGCAGAAGTTTAGTAATCCAGCGTGGCCTGCGTGGTCTCTTTGCATGCATACCTAAGTATCGAGGGGAAGAAGCCACTTCTGCCTCATGTGACTCAATTTGATGGATTAAATTCCTGAGATTATATCTCAAACAATGCCAGACCTTTGCTTGTTCTCTCTGATGCCCTTTCACACTTAGCTAAAGAAATAAATCAAGCCTGGGCTCCATAGTGAGCTCAAGGTCAGCCTGAACTCCATAATGAGACCCGGTCTCCAAACAAAAAACAAGAAACAAAGAATTCATCATGAAGGTTTTTTTAAAAAATGCTTTTTGTGGCCTCATGATAATGCAAATACCGTAATAGTTACTTGATAGGGCTGTGATGACAAGAGTCATCAGTACCAGTGCGGTATGTTTGTGTCATCCTGCAGTATAATTAGAAGATGGGTTTTCTAAAGGTAGAGTGGTGGGATTTAGCTGAGGTGTACCTTTCTCTGACGCCCTGCCTTGGTATCTTTTCATATCGGGGAGAGTAAGCAAATCCTGTGAGTAATCTAAGTATTGTTTCTGTTCTCTGATGTTTAATTCATGTTTACAAAAATAAATCCACATGTAGTGTAGATAGGCAGCCAGTCTACACTGCAAATGGAATTTGGGTCATCTCAGTTCATCTTTGCAAGCATCCCCTGCAGTAGGAACTTTTTCACCTCAGCTGCTCAAGGTCATGTGATCAGCCTGCTTCCCTGCACACATCCTCAGAGGGGCCACAAGTCTGTCTGTCTCCTCTTCCCATATCACAGCCGACTGGCACACCTGGTTCTTTAACACATGGCACAGGCTATGGCCACTGTCTTTTCAAAGAGGCGCCCACTTTACTAGAGCAGCAGAGTTACTGAATGTTACTGGGTGCCACGTGTTGTTCTGTCCTGAGAGCTGTGCTTCCGTCATCGCATTTAGTCCTAGGAAGGGTACGCAGGTGTCAGGCCTGGAGATTCTAGACAGGCATTTGATGCACAGCGCAGTGAAACCCCAACCAGACACCTTACTTAAGTCCTACAGACTTCCAGGACAGAAAAAGGCTTTGTGAGATACGAAGGGAGCTGTGAAGGAGAGCCAGATGCTGCAGTGGTTTGCTGCCCTTGGCCTCTCAGATTCTTCTTGGCTTGCAGTGGGTTATGCTTTGATTGCTGAGTATTAGAAGCTGAAAGTGAGCTGATGTGCCCACTCTCCTGAGCACTCCTCCCCTGACCTGTCTGTCTGCAGCATGACCAGAGCCCACATGAGCACTACGTGCACCTGCTGTGTCCACACAGAGGTGTCTGTTTAAAGTGCTCGGTCTCATGGCAGACACCTCACACAGCACCCCAGTGCCCCAGTGACACAGGACGCTGGAGGGCATCCATCACGGAAGAGATTAAGACTCACATCCAAAACATGGGTTCCGCTGAGTGCTTTTGCTCCGCCCTGAAGTTGAAAAGTCAAAAGAGGAGCTGTAGCAAGTCACGGTGGTTGGCCTACATCCCACTTTTGGGTCTGACATTGGTGGAGTTGATACGGTCAGCACATGGCCCAGTGCTGGCACAGGTTAGCTGGGGACAAGCGCTTGGCTGCACGATGGTGAGTTCTAGATGTTTTCCCCAAATACCAGAAGATGTAGTTGAGTGGGGTGGACCTGCCAGCGTTGCTCGGTTCGCTAGACCACTGGCTACAGGTGCAGTCCGGAGCGATCCTAGAAGATGGAAGGTGTACTCTGGAAGGGCGGGGTGGTAATCAGGTAGGGAGTGATGTGGGTAACGCAGCGCAGCACGGCACCGTCCAGCGACTGTCACTGTGCACATCACGGCCAGTTCGTAAGTGGGAGGAATAAACACGAAAGCAAGCACCAAGGGTCCTTTTTAAGAAATCATTTTGCGATGCGATTCAACTGTGAATCCATACAGAATGCAGTGCGGTGCGTCAAGCTTTACCTGTCCACATCTGGTGTCTGTCCACCATATCCCTGGACAGTTCTGCACAGTGGACACCACTGTTGTTGTAAATCGGGTGTCCCGAGGCTTGGAGGTAATGATGTTTTCCCTAGGTCACGCAGCCCATGAGCTGAGAATCTGTCCCAACACCTCTGTGGGCTTCTGAGGATGCACATTGTGTCAGCCTGGTGCAATTATGGGTGATGGCAAAACCGTACAGGTTCTGGCATGGTGCTTTCTGATTTTACCACTATGCCAACAAGCCTCGTCATGTTTTCCAATTCAGTAGCATTGATAACATCTTTATGCATAGTGGAGAGTGGAAATATCATTTACCAGTCTGAACACTCGTTCCCATGTTTCGCTTTTTAATGCAGAAACTCTAATACTTAAGATTGCCTCCCTCTCTTCCCTTCCCCTTTTTCTTCCCTCCCTTCCTCCCTCTCTCCTTCCCTCTTTCCTTCCTTTTCTCTTTTCCCCCAGAAGTAGGAATTGAATCCAGGGCCTTCACCCTAAGCTACATCCCAAGACCTTTTAATTTTTTTATTTTTGATAGTCTTGCTACGTTGCACAGGCTGGGCTGGAACTTGTGCTCATCCTGCCTCAGCCTCCCAGAGTGCTGGGATTATAGGCACAGGCCACCACTCCCGGATCCAGCTGCTCTTGTTTTTACTCTAAGCAGTCATAGGTCTGTGTGTCTGAACACCTGGTGTGTTTTCTGTCTGGCCTTGTAAAACTCTTAGATCCATACGTACAGAAGTCTCCAGACCCTGGGTGGTGTAGATGCAGGTAGATAACCTTTTAGAGCAAGATATTTTAAGGTGCTTATCTAGGACAGGACAAAGCAGACTGAGTCTGTGTAAACAAGAAGCCCCAGGCCTGCTGGTCTTTCCTGCAGCAGCTTGCCAAAGCCTCCCTCCTGGTCTGTGCAGAGCGGAGTGAGGACTCCCAGGGAGCCCATTTGGGCAGCGTTTAGCGTGGTACTATTTCTCAGGCCCAGCATGGGAGAAGCATTATGTATGCTTTATTTTTAGAATGCTGCTTTATTGCCGCAGAGCTGTCACACTGAATCAAGGTAGCCTAGCTCTGGGCATTCTGCCTGCCAGGCTCTGGATGAAAGACTGCCGTCCCCTGCACGCTTCCATTGAAATTCGCAGTAGATCCCCAGGCCTCTCTCCGTTTCCCAGCCTGCATTACCTCTCCTTACTGTGCAGCAGGACGTGTGTATTGTGCAGGGTTTG